TCTTAGTGAAGGCACTCCGAGAACCAAGTGGAATCGTTCCCGTCGCCAACATTTGTGACAGATGTACGGCGGGAATTTGAACGCGTAACACCCCGGTTTTTGAATTGTTTACGAAAACAAACACAATTTTTTGTTGTTTTCGTTCTTATCGTAAACAATGGAATTTCGCGCCAGTGATTCATGAGTGAGATAGAATCATGAATTTCCCGAGAAGGATTCTTTAAAAAATGATATGTAAAGGTAAAACCACTCCAAAAATGACACCAGCCTTCTCAATAGAAACCTCTTTCGGTTGTCCCTCCGTGGATGAAGCTTAGATTCGACCAAGCTTTTCATTCAGGCACAGGTCACTAGGTCCTTCGCTAGTTCCTATTTGTTTCAGGAAGTCCAATTCGTTCCAACGTGCAGCCGCGGCCGGCGCACCATATCATACAAATTAGAGATTGCAGATCATTGTCCTTCAAACTCACTGATGCGTAGGAAGGGCGTGAAAGGTTTGACTTCTCACGAATCAAGTAATAGCTAAGAATGATACTGTGTGTTCCTTACGGATGGTATAGGTCCAAAGCGCAAAAACGCTGACCTGGATGCTAGCTAATTTCTTCTGTAGGTCATTGTGCGCCGAAAAAATCCTCTACTACTTTTAATCGAATCAGATTCACGGTGTAATGGGATTGATCAGTGTTTCAGCGCAGAAAGAAACGAACCAATTCTAATGCTTACGTACCTTTTCGATTTGTTGAGTGTTGCACAAAAATGCTGGTTTATAAACAGAGCTTTCGCTTGCTCAGCTCACAGCTAGTGTCTCTAGAAGCTATTCACCAGTTAATCATTGAAGAAATTATGTAGCAGCTTCAGGCCGGAGCGATTACGGTAAGCCTCGTTGAGCTCGACGGTGACGGCAGATGACGTCATATTCTGGGACAGTGAAGGAGGGCCTGCTTCTGCTTTGGGGGACACCTAAGGAATATTCTGCCGTAAAACATTCATCAACAACGGCATCCTGTGCGACGAAAAATTTGATGATGTGCGCCATGGGCAAAGTGACTCTTTTTTTGGCCCCCCTGTATAGTCACACAACTTCTTCCATGAAATCCTCCTGTATCAACCATTTTTTCAATCCCCTTCATTCACCGCCATGTTCGACTCTCGATAAACCTCGGCATGTCGGTGATCTGTAGAGGTTGTAACAGTTCTTTATTGGCTAACGTTTCGGCGAGTTCGCCTTCGTCGGAGCCTAAAAGGATGGGAGTCGAGTTTGTGAGTATCCGACCAAATGTCTACACACACCTACTAGATCTTCGACACATCCTGTATCATCACGTAAGCTCCAATCGGCATCGGCTCATCTTCACTCCATTCACTCGCTTTTCGCGAAATTCCCCTGTAGTCGATTTTTGATGTTTTTTCCTGTGTTTGCGCAAGTGTGTTCCGCCGTCACTGGACACACTGTAGCGCACAAACTACACTACTCAACGTCCCATGTATAAAAGCGCACTCTTTTTGACTAGGTATGCCAAAAAATGTTTCTCCTCTTGTCATTTCTCTCACTATCGACAGCTGTAGCGATCTATGTTTGGCGATTTTACGAGAACACTAAACGCTATCCGAAAGGACCGCGACCATACCCAATCGTCGGAAATCTGCTTTCGGTATGTTTTGAAACCCCTTACAGTAAACATAACATTTAAACTGCATTTTATTCACTATTGACATTTTGAATAACTGTCATTGTATTTTTAGTGTATATCGCGTCACAGCTTTGTTGTTAAGTCAGTGACGTTTGAGTGTTTGCGGTTAGAAAACCACCAAACCAATTTCAACGTAAGATTTATAGGCAAAAAAGCCAAATAGCAATGGGCGGCGATTGATCCTATGCAAGGGAGGTCGTTCAGGGTGTGCCAAGCTTTTTCAAAATGGTTTCTTGCATGACATTGGGGCACATGTGGGAACCACAGAACCATGGTTCCATTTTTCCTGAACGGCCCTCTGAATACCAGAAAAGGGGTCCCTAGTTCGATTCCTCGTGGTGACAAATTTTTGCATTTCGAGTTGACGTTTCAAAATTCGCGCAAAATGGATTAGCATGAACAATGAATTCCATATTCATAATTAGGACCGTCAGTAACCCTTACAATAGACTTTGATTAAAAAACTGGTGAAAAAGGTGTGACACCAAAATGGCCCCACTGTGATGTCACAACTTTTCCACCAGTTTTTTGATCGAACAAAGTCTATTTCAAGGGCTACAGACGGTCCTGATTATGGACATGGAAATTCATTATTCATGTTAAGCTCCATTTTGCACGAATTTGAAACGTCAACTCGAAATGCAAAAATTTGTCACCACGAGGAATCGAACCAGGGACCCCTTTTTGGTATTCAGAGGGCCGTTAGGAAAACGGACCATGGTCTGTGGTTCCCACATGTACCCCTATATCATGCAAGAAACCGGTTTCGAAAAAAGCTTGGCAACATCTGAGCGACCTCATTCTAAATATACGTAATGCGCAGCATCTTCCAAATACAAAACTTGCACAGAAGGTGGTGTGCCTAAAAGAGGATGGGTAGCGCAGAATATAGAGCAGGGTCAAGCGGTTGTGGCAAGCTTTGTTGCAGCTAAAAGCCCTGCTAAAGTAGTTATGAACGAAAGAAAATGAGATTTAAAAGTGTCCAACGGAATCTAGACATACCGTAACCCGAATAAGTAGCGTGTTTACTTCTCATCAATCCGCCTCACCTTGAAACTTTACTAGATTCATCTCTCGCTTTCCTATATGGTTTATTCTTCTGCACGGTACGTAACATAATAACATATGAAACAACCACTAGCAATAGGACCATAAAAGAAAATTGTTACAGCGGCTACCGAAGCGTCAACAGCCGCGGTTAACCAAAATATAAGTTGCCGTGTCTCGGGTTTTCGACCGATTTGCTTCCTTTTCTCTTACACACCACCACTTGGTCCTTTTACGCTAACATTTCAATAGTGTCAGCTTATCTCCAGCTTTATCTTTGAGCTATGTCAAGAAGAGGTTTTCAAAAAGGCTAAATTCGCCGTAACGACAGCCATACAAGGTTTATATTAAGCTTCGAAAGCGAAAAGTGGTGTAGTGTGAAAAGTGAAAAAGTGAAAAAAAGTGATTAGTGAAAAATATTCAAAGTTCGAGAGGAAAGGACAGCGGTGGCAAGTGGCGTCGTTCACAGGTCACTAAGGGCACGGTCCAAGGACAAAAAGCCCGAACATATGCATCGTCTGATCACTCAAGTCAGTGTACATGGGGTATCGCTTACAAATACCAATTCGACCCTGAATGGAAGTGGGATGCGCGGCGCATCCTAGAAAGGGACCAAGAGATGCCAACTACAATGTGCTTCTTATTTTTTATCAAGACTGCTATCAACAGGCTGAGATCAATAGAGAGTCTTCCATGGATCATTCAATTCATCTTCTTATTTAGGTGGATATTCGCAGACTACACGAAGACTACAAGGAATATACAAAAGTTTATGGCAGTGTATTCACTGTTTGGCTACCCAAACCATACGTGGTTATCACTGATTATGACCTTGTCAAGGAAGCATTCGCGAAAAAAGGTGCGATTTATGTCAATTACAGATCATCTCTATTAACCCTTTGACGACAATGCGGATTTGCACGTAGCTTGCTCATGGGACCACGCCTCTTTTTGGCGCGCCCAACTCTCGCTCACAATTGGGCAAAATTGTCCCTCAAAGCAGTTTTTCTATAGAATTTTTGACTTTAACAGTATACCAGATATAACTGCAGTTCTAGGCTTTCATACTGTATATTGTTTTCAAGAGAATTCCAAATTTGGAAGGGAACTCGGGTTTCAAAGGGAAGGAGGGCAAAACCTCTAAAAA